AGACAAGAATATATTAAATTTCGTTTCGAAACGAATCTTTGATACAAATTTCTGCGTCTAATCACTTTTTGAATCCCATCGAAATCGATCGTGTATTCAAAAATCCGGCTTTTTCTCCACCACCTTTTTCCATATCTGTGCCTATAAATCTTCTAATTGATATATATACAAGCTGATTTTTGATTTGTACGCCATCGAAAAAGGAAATCCATAAGGATAGAGAATAAGTTGGTCGTAAATTTCTCCTAGGCGAAGTAATTTTCATTTAATTATCCGTTCGAATATCGAATTTTTTCTTTTTTTTAGTCGAATCTTGATCAGTCGGATTGAAAGAAATTTTGTTGTATCGATTATTGACCCTGCAACGATATAAGAGGGCTTCCTCGTCACCCCAATAGCGGGGTGTACTCATTTTAGTTATCGCGTCGCCAATATAAAACTCGTGTAACTTTGTTTCCAGCGAAGAACGTTCGAATGAAAAAAAAAGGAAATTTAATATCGTTATATATATATATAATAAGCATCTACTACGTTAGGATATTTTTTATTGCGAGAAGAGAAAATTAAAATTATAAATTATAAATTGAAAAATAATCTCAAAAGAAATTTTTGTTCTTTTTTTTTTTTTTGGAGCAAACGTTAAGGTTAAGTTTGATTCTCGATACACCCCCGTATGTTCCGTGCTGGCTACAACGTGTAGCAAAAAATGGCGACTACGGTCGGAGAAAAGCGCGACAACGGGCAAGAAATTCAATCTCGATCCTCTGTCGACGAATGAAAAAGTAGGAAAATGCGTCGCGGCGCCGGAGACACACAAATCATCGCTGATTTCCACGATGTGCCGGGACAAAGCAGCGTAATACGCGCTCTTTTGGCCGGCGTATTAGCCGGAGTTAAATTCAATTTGTCCAGCCCGAAGTAATCCTGGCTCGGCGTGAAAGAGAGAAAAAGAGAGGGAGGGAGGGAGGCAGGAGGAGAGGGGGAGAGAGAGAAAGGGAGGTGGAAAAGGGAAGCAGGAGGAAAAAAACGCGAAAATCCGGGACGTCGTTGCATCGCAATAACCGTGTCGACAGAGGAACGAACCCTGGCGACCCGAAAATTCGGATAAAATAGAAATTAAGTTAGATCTTTTTGTGTAATTGTTTTTTTTTTTTTTTATTATTTCTTTTTTTCTTCAACTCCGTTCGTTTACATCCTCTCATTTATATTTCGCTCGTCGAAATATTCGTTACTCGCCATCACGGTGAAATCGTGGATGCTTCTCTCTCTCTCTCTCTCTCTCCCTCTTTCTCTCTGTTTATATCTCGATGAGGGTGGTGGTACCATGCCGTAGATATAATATTACTTTTATATTTAAATAATGAACAAATGAAATGAAGTTTCGTTCCGGAGTTTGAATTTGACGGATTAA